CGGGCCTACACCCTCCCCCGTGTCTCTCCACCAAAAAGCACCTCGCGGAGACCCATGGCTTAAGTAGCGCTATGCTTCCCTAAACATTTTTTTTTTAAAAAATAAATTGTCTCTGACTTTCCCTAGATACAGGGAAAAGCTTTTTTCCGCACAAGGATGGCCGAGCAGCAGAGATAGCCCAAAGAGTCAGAATCACAGAATCACAGAATGTTAGGGGTTGGAAGGGACCTCTGAAGATCATCTAGTCCAAACTTCATCCTAGCATACCTAACCACTACACCATAGCCTCAAGTGCTAGATCTACTTTTTTTTTAAACACCTCCAGGGTCAGGCGGGCTCCGTCACTGGAGTTTTTCAAGCCCTGACTGGAAAAAATATTCTAGTCTTATCTCATGGCACACCCTGCTTTTGAACTCTTGAGTTCCCTTCCAATCTGAAACACCCTAGGATCCCCTACAGTTTTTGTCTAGAAAGCCTTACTTTGGTCTAGTGTATTTTTGCAACCTGTCATTGCCTCACTTCCACTACTGATGCAAAGCAGGGATTCTTCTTTTTGTCTCAGTGCAGAAGCGTGAATGCTCCTACGCACTGCTCTGCAAAACTGCTACCTATTATCACTCCAAATTTCTTCACAAGCTGTTCAGATCTCATCCCTTCTGGGTATCCTGTCTCTTCTGCTTTTCCTGGTTGATTCAAACTTCAATCTAGTCATTCTTTTCAAGAAGTAAGATCTGAATCTCAAAATACGCATTCAGAAATTCAGAATTTTGAATGAAACGAGGGACAAATCATCCAATCAATCCTAGTATCTATTTGATATCGAAGACATACATAGGAGTCTCATTGAACAATTAAGCTTATCCCTTTCATCTTCCTGGCTAGGCTTCACGAACGAAGATATGGGAAGGGCTCTACCCACGCTTGCTACAAGCGTGCTGATGGCTAAAAAGGCCGATGCGGGATAGGCAAGTCTGGTTGCAAAAGGCACAGTGGACATCCCTTTACTCTGTAGATAGAGGTCACTGCGAGTGTGCTAGTGAGGAGGATCACAGATAACTTCCAGGCAGACACTACTTCACTTCCTTATTGCTAATACAGCATCTGGTGGTAAGGGGATGCTTCTGGCAGTGAGAGCAAACCTCTCATGTAAACTGGTTGTTTTAATCTCTCAATTGATTTACAATCCCCACAGTAATACAACCATGTAAAATGTTACAGTGAGGTCCTGCATATTATAATAGTATCCAGCACGAGCTTTAAGAGAACTCTGAACTATTGGAGTGGGTTACATAGCCTGGCAGTGTGATACAGTCATCTACAGACTCTGAAATACACCAAATCATAACTCTTAATCATATTCTTAGTTTTTATAGAACACTGTGACATTAAAATCCATTCATCTTATTCTGTGTGCCGTATTTTGCTTAGTGCCTTAGAAGGGCTCCTGAGCACCCCAGTCAAATGCAGTTTAGCAAATAAAGTTTTCACTCCTTTTATAGTGTTTCTGCATGGATGATCCTCACTAACAACAGGAAAAAAATGACTGTGATGTCAAATGTTTTCAGACAACATAAAGCTTCTTTTAAATGAACATAACAGTCATTTCCATGTCAGATCTCGGAAGAACACAATTTACTATATCAGAATTTTTTAAAAGCTCTGTAATAGATAAAATGACTATATTTTAAGTGCCTGCATTACTCACAAGGCAATTTTGTTTAACAGCAGGATTACACATTGAAGTAAAAGTCATGGTTATTTATTTTTCCAGTTTGTACTTTGGAAGTATCATCTGACACCCTAAACGATTTTAACAGTACTTCATTTTGCTGGCAGTTTCCAGCTGAGCTGAAGCATTAATGAAGAAAGCCGTGATCCTTTAGAGATTTTTGACTGGGCCCACTAAATTCAGTAGAACTACTCAAAGGCCACAGGCAGCTGTGTCATTCGCTGTGGAGGAGAAGCTTTAGTTTACAGTCCCTGTAAAACAGTCACTTTTTCAGGACACGGAAAGGTCAGCACACAAAAAGTGACTTACCTACACTTAAAGAGTGCTTTCGGGCCTCTGAGGGAAAAATTGCTTTGTTCTGTGGTGGAGCTGGCTGGACAGCACTTCTCAGGTCACAAAGTCTATGAAGAGAAAATCATTATCCCAGGGGTTATGACACAAACAGCTTCATTAGGCAGTTAAGATTTTGCCTCAGGGATTTGAAATGATACTAAGAGACAAGTTTCCAATAAACAGCTTCTATTAACAATGTAAGCTTGGATACTGAAAATTATTTTTATGCCATATTCAGTTAGTTCATGACATAGTAACATAACGAGAGTCCAGCTTTTAGAGGCTGAAAACAACAACTTAAAAAGGTCTGCTTTTTGAGATAAAATATTTTACCCCTTGAAAATATTTAACATTACCTGGCATTTAGATAGAGCCTCTATCACTTAAGTTCTCTAAATAAGCCATATATTTTCTTAAAAGAATGGGCTATAAAGAAGATTATAGGTGTCCCTCTGCAGCCGTTCCTGCAATAGGCTTCTTGGTCTGTTATGCAGGAGATTAAACTGCATGATCCTAACAGTCTTTCTTCTCCTAAAAAAACAAACAACCCCACCCTAAAATAATTTAACTTAGTGCACATGTAGGCGCTTTTTGAAACATGCTGTACTTTTGGAAAGGTGAAAGCAACTGTACAAATACAATTTTCAACTGCACAAATTTTATTTTTTTTTTCTCATTTTCAATTTGAGCAGTTCTAAGCATGTTACCAACAGTGGCAATTTGTGCGAGCGTTTCACAGACCGGCGATTCTCCCTTCCACGCTCTTGTGCTTCCAGAAGGTTATTATGAAAACACCACCTGGAAAGTTAAAAAATACACTTGATGATATCTTTCCTTTGACTGCTGTGGCTGCTTTGGCCCTCACAGAGCAGGTGGCAGTGCATGTGCTATTGGTGATAGCTGGCAGCCAGTTTGAGCAAACGTGGAGTGTGGGGTTCCCCACAACTACCCTGTGGTTGCTATGTGGGCCCTAGCACAGCCATGAGCCTCTTCCACAAGAACTCTCTGCCTTCCAGGAGTGGCAGAAGTGACCTGGAGACAGAAATAAGGCATCAGAATTAACCATCACAAACTGGAAAAGAGGAGGTTCATCCTAAACATAAGGAAATACTTCTTAACCATGAGGGTAACAAGCACGGGCACAGGCTGCCCAGAGGGGTTGTGGAGTCTCCTTCTCTGGAGACATTCAAAACCCACCTGGACCCGTTCCTGTATGGCTGCCCTAGGGGATCCTGCTCTGGCAGGGGGGTTGGACTAGATGATCTTTGGAGGTCCCTTCCAACCCCGAACATTCTGCGATTCTGTCAGTGCAAAGGGCAGCTGTAGCACAGAAGGCACGCAAAGGCTTGAAAATGTTACAGGTGTACTTGCTTCCTCGCCTAAAATGCCAGTGTGCTTATTCAGAACCCAATTAACAGACTCAGCTAGCAAAACACACACACATAAATGTTTCAACGATTTTTTTCCCTTAGTTAGAACAAGAACAATTTCAAAATGCAGTTATGCTGCAAACTGCTGCTCGAAGAAGCACTGACACGTGTCTCTGACACATGACAGAGAAAGTCATGCTCCAAACAATGCTTGAGAAGTTAAGCAAATACACTCAGAAGGGTTAAGAAAGATATTTAATCTGCCTTTTTTTTTTCCTTTCTTTAATTCATTTTGTAGAATTAGTCAAATTAAATTGCATGAAACATTTTTCTAGTAGAGTGTCAGTGAGCTTTAACACAGTAACACTGTTAGCTGCAGGAAACGACTGACGGTTTGGTTCTTCTACATCTGGAAGCATTTATATGGCCAGAGTGCTGCCCCCACATCAGCTCCGTTGCATCAGCACGTTATTGTTCCAGTGAGGCACCTGTCAGAACATTAACCTTTCAAAAGTATTTTCTCCCCCTGCTTTCCCAAGAAAGCTGAATTTTGTGCTAATAACAAAAAGCATCGCTGAGAGTAATTGCTTATGCCAGCTCAGTCTAAGTATCAGTGTCTTGGAGCACTAATGTGCCTTACATGCGCTTTCTTATGGTTGTTCTCTCTCCCCAGGGCTGGATTTCATGATGTTGAGAGGAGTCACTCATGGTGCGAAAGACACAGTTACTCTTGTGTTGGCCAGATCTCGGTACTGTAACATGGGATTGAATTTTTCACCAGTATGGACTGAAGCACCAAACAGAAGCTTCCTGATGCATTCCACTTACACAACTGATACAAGATCAAGAGAGGAGAATAAAAAAACCATTGAGAGTCTCTATGGATTGTCAGTTGACATCAAGAAAATACGCAGACTAAAAGAATGGGTCCTTCTTCAGGATGTGGCCTATGTTAAAGAAATTGCTGGTATCTTACAAGAAATGGGAGCCAACGAGGCGGCTGTAGCCAGCATCTTAGAACGCTGCCCAGAGGCAATTCTCCATACCCCTGCAGAGATAAACTCTCAAAGAGCTCTATGGCAATTAGTATGCCAGAATGAAAAACAGTTGATTAAATTAATAGAGCAATTTCCAGAGTCTTTTTTCACTACTCAGTATCATGAGAACCAGAAGGCTAATATACTCTTTTTTCAAGAGCTGGGACTTAAGAATAATATAATCACCAGGTTCTTGACAAGTGCACCCAGTATTTTCTACAATCCTGTGGAGAAAACCAGAAATGTGATAGAAACATTGCAAAGAAATTATTTAAGTTTAGGAGGTTCTGATGCAAATATGAAGATCTGGATACTGAAGCTACTGAGCCAAAATCCATTTATTTTATTAAATACCTCCATGACAATCCAGGAGAACTTGGAATTTCTCCAGAAGAATGATTTCACTGACCATGAAGTTCTACAGCTGCTGTCTAAACTGAAAGGTTTTATTTTTCAGCTTACTCCAGCTACTATGCAGAAGAGTGTGCTTTTTTCCAAAAATGTCTTTAAGTGCAGCGATCAAGAACTAAAGGAGCTAGTGCTGAAATGCCCAGCCCTTCTCTACTATTCTGTTCCAGTTCTGGAAGAACGACTTGAAGGACTACTAAAGGAAGGAATTTCTGTCACGCAGATTAGAGACACACCAACGGTGCTCGAGTTGACAACGCAAATTGTTCAGTACCGAATTAAAAAACTTTCTGCTTTGGGATATGATATAAAGAGTGGAAATCTGGAAAGCCTGACTGGTACTAAGAAAGATTTTGAAGTCAATTATGGTAAGATACAATCAAAGAAGGAGAGACCAATTTTTAATCCTGTTGCTCCTCTACACGTTGAAGATTAATTTGAATGCTGTACTTTATGCAAAAGAAAATTATCAAAAAAAGAAATGTTGGTTCTTTGAGAAGAGCCAAACCAAAAGTAACATTAACCAGATTGTAGTCTCACATTGTATTTTGTCCTCGGGTGGGTCTTAGGCACATGTTTATTATACAATAGTAACTTTCTAATGCTTTCAAATAATATCATAGGAGCTAGTTATGATGAAGGTTGCCTTTTTTCCCCAGGGACTACTTCACAGGGTTTTATCGTATATTTCTTTGGTTCCGTTACATTTCCTTTTCTAAGCAGGCATTAACTGCTTCAGATTTTCAGCTCTGTCACTGCGCAGTCCAGCGTGTGGTAGCAATTAGCAGTCTTTATCTGAGAAAGAAAAAAGGAGGGTTGTTTTCCCAGCACTGTTCATTAACGTGCTGGTTCACTGACTTTTGGAGACTCTTTTGGAGTTCTGTTCCTTATTGCTGCAGTAAGTAGCTGTAGCCCAGACCTGCAGCAGAATTCTTGGGCAGGAAAGCCAAGCCAGAGCAGAGTCTGAGAACGGGGCAGGACATAATATTTTGTATTTAGTGGCTGCTGCAGTGACGCCCTAGTACGAACCATAACACAAGCACCTACAAGACAACCTCCTTTACATTTTTGATACTTCAAAATTTACTCCTTTCACAACAGGTTTTGGGCAAGCGAGATCTATTTATTGCTGTTGCCTAGTTCTTCTTTTCTAGTAAGGCTTGAGGAGAGAAAAGGTTAGGGAA